ATATGAAGTGCAATTGGTTCGGCAGCTGCTGAGGAAGCACTGGGTGAAGCAAGCAGGTCATCACAGCCAGACTTTTTTAGAGGAAGGATGAGGATGCACTGCTGCACCCGTGCGGTCCCTGCACTTGCCTTAGTGGGGAAGTGGCAGAGGGCATAACACACTGTCCCCTCTGCGTGGCTGTTTCCAGGGCTGGTCCCCAGCAGGAGGGATGGGTTGCTGCAGCTAAGAACATCCCTGCGTCTATGAACACTGAGAATTGCTCAGGGAAACTCTTCATTTCTCAGCCAGAGCCCTCAGAGCAGGTTTTCTGCCTTCACCCAAGCTGTTCAGGTATCTTGATGTGCCTCCTATATCTTAAATTGCAGCAGATGTTTCTTATAGCACCTGGCTTTGTCAGCAGCTCCAGCTCCTTGCTGCATCTGCTGGCAGCTCCCAAGTGCCCTGCGACGGAGCAGCTCCAAGACGACTGAGTGACACTCAGAGGGCAACAAAACTTTAAGCAATTTATTTGGCCTCTGTTGGCTGTTGGCGATCTGTTAAATCTGCAAAAGGTTAGCCAGTGGGAGAGTGGGGAATAATCACTTTAGTTATTTATTTTGTTTAAAGATTTGCAGAGATTTCACTTACGTAATAATCTTGCAAACTGTTTAATACATGAATACATAGCTCTAGGATTAAGGGCTGTGGAAATGAGGGAAGTATTTTTCTGCTTTCTACTTTCTTTCCCCCTTAGTTTTGTCTTTATTGATGCCCTACTATCTTTTATGTCTGTCCTTGAGAGCAGACAGCCCTTTGGTTTGGAACTGACTTCCCAGGGACTGTCATCTCTGGAGGCGATACCCACAGAGATGCTGCACCATGAACCCCCACGAATGGAGGGCAGCCTTGCACCTTCCCACTGCCCAGCAGTGTGGCTTATGAGGCATGAAAGCTGAAGGAAGACATGGGGAGGAGTGTAACTCAGTGTACTCGCACATACATGCATGCAGGTTGTCTTCATAAACCCTTAGCACACAAGGCACACTGGAGGAGGAAAGGCAATAGCTCTGGGTTTGGAAGACAGTCTAACCCGCCTGCCAGTTTTCCCAATGACTCAGCTGAGCAGCATTTTGTTGTGGTTGCCCTCGGGTGAATTTAACTCAGAAATGCTATTACTTGTCCCTGGAGTTAATTATAGGCCCAAATTACCTGTGCTTTTAATGGAACTCAGTCCTGGCATGTATAAGATGCATGTTTTCAGCCTGTCGCATCAGCCATGCTGCAGAGAGCAGCTGTAATGCTAGGGCTTAAAGCAGAAAATTCAGATTTCATGCTGGACATGCTGCATTTGGAGGATGGTTGGATACGATTTTTGTCTGTGCTCATCTTTAGCTAATGAGGATAATTCTATTGCATACACGTAATTATTGTTTATTCATTCCCAGCCTGAAAGTTACAATAGTTCCTTGTTCCTGTGCATTGCACAGATATCATCCTGGTCTTTCAGGTTTATCACTGTGAGAAAGCCAGTTTGCACTGCACCTCCTAGTACTTGCATGATAAAATGCTAAATACATTGCATCTCCACATGACATGCACTGTCTTCTTGGGGGAAATGGGTTGTTGCATTAACAGGGCTTGCTCAACAAGCAGGAAGGAAAAGGAAAGCAGCCTGCTTTTTTCCAATATCCAGGAATCAGCAGAGAGGCTGTTGCTGGAGTTCATAGAATCATTGACCGGTTTGGGTTGGAGGAACCTTAAAGCTCATCCAGTTCCAACCCCCTGCCATGGAAAGGGACACCTTCCACTAGCCCAGGTTGCTCCAAGCCCTGTCCAAGCTGGTGTGAATGCCAGGTTAGCCAATTTCTCCTGTGAGCCCTGCATGTGAGAATGGCGGCTCAGCCCATGGGTTGTTCATCTGGTGCTACACTGGACAGGAGCTGGGCCAGCTCCTGCAAGCCTGGGGTGTCTGAGGTTCATTGGCTGCTCTTTGGGGAAAACCATGTATATTCTACCCGGAAGCTGAGATGCACCAGTGCATGTCACCACTTCCATAGCATAAATGGAAAGGAAAAGCCCAGCAGCAGTGTGATGTGCTGCCCTGTGCAGCCAGGATCTGGGCTTTGTGCTGGAGCTGCTGCTCCAGAGCATCATCCCAACTGGACAATGGTGGAAATGCTCCAGCTGCTGTGTGAGAAAATCTCCTTTTGTGGTGTTTTTGTAGTTCTTCAGGTTCCTGGCTCCCACTGCCCTGTTTTTTTCTGAGACAAGCTATTAATTTATCTGGTGGCACAGCCTCCTCTTTCTCCCCCAGCTGTGGAGCAGAGCTGAGGTTTCCAGACACTCTGCTCTCACATAACCTTTGATAAAGGATTCACCCTTTGTTCCCCCAAGAACAAAAGGGCAGGACAGAAAGGTATTATGAGATAAACTGACAATGTTCTGCAGGAGGATTGATCCCCCATTGCTTAATCTGTAGCAAAGTCAGCCTACAGCTGGTTGCTGCTGGCAAACCTCATTATCCCACTTCATGCCATGGGTCCAAACTCTGTTACAGGGATCCTCCAGACCTCAAAGGTCTGCATCCTAATGAAAAAGAGCTGGAGAAGTGATTGTTAAAATGAGCTTTCCACCTAATACAACCACATGGTTTGATTTTTCTGAAATAAAGCTGGGCATTTCAGCCCTGCAGGCATCTGACAATTTAGAATGTTTTAGTAAGGGTCAGATTTTAAATATTAACTATTCTGGTGTTTAAAAGTACAAAGCAAGACCTGTTGGCATTCCTTCAGTGTACTTCATTCATCAGCAGTATTTGGGCATCGTCTGCCTGCTCGCAAATTCCTTCAAATACAGCACAAAATTAATTCTTGGGAGATTGACACGAGAAAGTGTGCTGCTTGCTGCTGGGACAAACGTGTGCTTCAGGTTTGTCATGTGTTTATGTCCTTGCTGGAACTGGGGCTGCCAGTATTGACCAACAAAGTAGGAGCTGGGACAGAGGTGTATGATGCAGCATTTAGTCACCTTGTCCCTACAGCTGGGCTGGACCCGGGCTTGACAGCTGGGCTGGGAGCAAGTAGTTCAGGCTCTGAGCAAATAATGGTAAATAGTCCTTTGTGGATGGACTTAACTACATGAAATAAACAACAACAAAGAGTGCTCAGGTCATACCTGCCCTTGCTTATAACAGAGGTTGACAGCCTGGATTGGTGATTGGGGCTGCATTGTTTAGTAAGGTTTAAAGAGCTGCCTGACTAGTTGCATTTGCATTGACTAAGAGTTTTTCAGCCATTGTTTTAAGTTCATAACCTGTTCTGTACTCTGGTGAATTATTATCTGAGGAAAACGTAACAATAGATGACCACAGAAACATCCAGCCCCAAACAAAAACCTGGCTGCTGGTGGCTTGGTAACTACTGGAAATCATACGTTAGCTTCCAGCATGTTAGACCCGCCACTGCAATAGGTCGGGGAGGGACAAGGCTACCTCTGCATGCGTTACCAGTGAAATGGGAGTGTGAATCACCCATAGGGCTACAAAGGTTTTACTGGAAAGTTGGAAAAACTCTGCTAAGGTAAAACCAATCCAAGGCTTAAGCCAGGGAACCACAGAACAGCAAAACACTGTCCTGTGCTATAGGATCTAAGTTGTCTGTCCACTTTCTCAGTGCTTTTACACATATTTCAGTGTCTAACGCCATGAAACTCCCTGTTAAAACAGGTTTGTGGAAGGTGGGGTTTCTGAACAAAGAAGTTGTCTGTCTTTAAGGCCATGGGTTTAGCTGATAAACACAACAGTGTTGATGCAAAGTACTGGGATTCACCAAGGCATTCCATCAAGTATTGTGTGACACTTGGATTTGAAATTAGCATTAAATGGAATAAATAAGGCATACATTTGATGGCAATATTAGATAAGGCAGGCACCGGTCTTTGAAGTTTGTTTAATGAGCTGGTTGTTAATGGGAAGATGTAAATTACTGAGAGCACTTCCAGCAGGGACCTAAGGAGCTGATGATTCATTCATCATTTAATATTGTTGACTCTAATCTAGCCAATAATATATAACATCTGTCCTGGTAAAGCATGCAGATGACACAACGTCTGCTTGTGTGTAAGAGCAGTCTCCTCACTGAGGAAACTTTGCTGTGGCTGGCTTACTACAAATTTATGTCTTGAGCTTGTCTGACTGTCAAGTCTGAGAGCTATTCACTCATAATCAGGTTTTTCCTGTGGCTATAGCATCAAGAAGACACCTTCCCATGGGGATTCCCTCATGCCTTCAAAGCGGACATCTAATGTGGCTACAGAAACAACACTTTCAGGGTCCCTCCCCATTGCTTGGCTGCTTATGTAATGACACATGTAAGAAATGAGTCATCCTTGAGGCTCTTCTCTCTGCTAAAAGGTTGGATCAACCAGGTAGTGCTGGGTTATGAAAAGAGAGACCACACAGTCACAAAGGGACAGCATGCTCCTGGGAGTGAAGAGCCAATGTGACAGGGATGGGCAGAGGATGCTCATGCTTGAGCATGGGACCCCCTTTCCATGCTTCCTCATCCCAAAGGATGTTAGAGGCCCAGAGCAGCTCAAAGAAGGGTTACAGAAATGATGCAGGAGCTGGTAAACATGGTTTATGGGGTTCTTAATGGGCTTTAAAAACTCAACATGTTACACTTGACAAATAGAAAGTCATGAAGCAATTCACCTGTTGTGTACAGGTAGTTGCAGCTCACCAGGGGCTCAACACACTTGGGTAGTTATATGGTGGTCAAACTCAACCTGGAAGCAAAGCATCAATGAAGGCACTTGGGCATTGAGCCAGCTTTCCAGGGATGTTGTGGATGAGGTTGCTTTGCAGGCAGGTAATTCGGGAAGCAGGGGTGGCTTTCCTCAAGACAAAGGGATCATGCTAGCTGTGGGCTGCTATTCCTCCCTGTTCTTGAATTCACTGACAAGCCCTTCTGATCTTGATACCTGTACTTTTAGCATGTGCCTGCTGGTTCAGCATCTTCAGCCATGAGCTGCTGGGAAGAGAGCAGAAGTCTGCGCTGCCCCAGCATGCTTTATGCATTCAGGTCTTTGTTAAGGTCTTACACTCCAAGAGTTTAACCTAAGAAGTTCATGAAGTTCATGGATGGATTCAGAGAATGGGCTGCTGCTTTTGTATGTGTTCCAGAAGCCATCTTCTGCCTTTACCCCAGCAAAAGCGAGAAGGATCTGCTTTCTGTCTAGGAAAGGAAAAGAAAATCCAGAATAATCTACACTTAACTATTCTAGAAGGAGTCAGCAATAGGCCAAGCATTTTTGGTTTATGTTTGCATAGTTACAGCTCTTTCTGACAGTCTGTTTGATTTGTGTGGTTTGTTAACAAAACTTTGGAGCCTTACAGTTGGGGATGAAATTATTCCAGTTGATTCCTGGGAGGCTCCATGTGGTGAGGTGCAGGGCAGGGGTGCAAGGCAGAGTTCTGTGTTCATCTGCTTTCCCTCAGGAAGAACAGTGCCCAGCACCAGTGCTTGTCCATATGTCCCTTCCCAGCTCCTCTTACCCGTGTTTAGCCTGAACACTTTCCAGGGCAGGGAAGGAGCACTCCAAAGGTCCAGCCCATTGCAGGAAAGATGCACTGCCATGAGACAGATTATTAACCCTAAGCCTTGCACAACCTCCTGAAACCAGGGGGGTTACCCTTATGCATGAGGAAGCTTTGTCTGTTCCCCTCTGCTGGCAAGCACTAGCCCTCTATAGGGCTACCTGGTAGTAAGCCACTGCCATCAAAGGCGCCATTGTGGTATAATCAGGTGGGGAATAGTTTTGAGCAGCAGCTGACTATACCCTGGTTTTGTTTGCAGGAGAGAGTTCTCCGAGCTGCTGGAGAAGTTTGGCTCCCAGAGCAACACAGGCTCTGCACGAAGCTCACCCATCCTGCACGGTGGCAGTGAGTAGCTCAGAATGCCTTTGGGGGGAAACCAAAAGCCCCCCTTGCTGCTGAGAGAGTTTTCCTTTGCTCAGTGTTATTTTGCAGAAGTGGCGATTGGATTTGTGTAGGTGTTTGGGCAGAGGTTTGAAGGAAGAGAAGTCCTGCCTGCCCTTACTGCAAGCACTTAGTGCAACCCCCAGGGGCAATTGAGTTGGGGTTGTAACTGCTTGCCAGATCCCCACATTCTGCTTAACTGATATGCTGAGCAGCTAAACCCATCAGCACCCATTTCTGCAGGTGCAGCTTTTTGCTATGGATTTCAAAGCAATTTCACTTCAGCAATCGTTCATTCAATGATTATTATGTTTTCATTTGCAAATGGGAAATGCTTCATGAGATACAATGAGGTTAACCCCAGCAAGATGCCAGCACACCACATCAGGTGATGCAGAGGGAAAGAAGCCATCCCTCTGGCTTAGCATCCCACCAGAAGGCTGCTGACCCTTCCCCTATTCAGAAGTATGTAGGGCTGGCAGAGGGGCAACAGCCCCAACTGGAACTGTGCTGAGGCAGCTCCAAGTTTCCTCTCCACTGAGGTCTTAAATGACCATGTGATTTGTCCCAAAAAGCCAGGAAAATGGTGTTAGCTTTCAGTGGTAAAGTAGGGGAGGAGGGTGATGCTGGAGTACTTGTGTTCCCTGCGCTGAATCTGACTTTGCTGTTCAGGTAGGTACCTGGAAAGTACATCCTCAGGCTCCTCCTCGCGCTCCCAGAGCCCGCTGCTGCTGAGTCCTGCCAATTCCCATGGCCCCTTCATCGGAAACCAGGCGCATCCGCCCCACACACAGTACGTATGGGTCACATGGAGCCAGCCCCCAAAGCCTGTCCCTTGGTCAGTCATGAAGGTCATAGAACCATGGAATGGAAGGGACCTTAAAGCTCATCCAGTTCCAACCCCCTGCCATGGGCAGGGACACCTTCCACTAGACCAGGTTGCTCCAAGTCCCTGTGTCCAACCTGGCCTTGAACACTGCCAGGGATGGGGCAGCCACAGCTTCTCTGGGCACCCTGTGCCAGCACCTCAGCACCCTCACAGGGAAGAACTTCTGCCTAAGAGCTCATCTCAATCTCCCCTCTGGCAGGTTAAAGCCATTCCCTCTTGTCCTGTCCCTACAGGCCCTTGTCCAAAGCCTCTCTCCAGGTTTCTTCTAGCTCCTTTAGGCACTGGGAGCTGCTCTAAGGTCTCCTCAGCGCTAACACTGTCTTAGAGGTAGATCCAGTAAGTAATTCCAGTGCTTGAAGAACTGCTTTGTCCATTCTTATGCCCTCTATATGGCCATATCACCACGATGGCGAGGAGACCACAGCATCTTCTAGAAGTCCTTATTGTGGTGGCATCTTGACTTTTCCTGGGAAGCCTGTGCCTAAGAGCTGAAAGCTTCCCTGTTGAGGCTGTCAACATGCCTCTAATACGGTTAACCATGCAATTGTTCCTCTTCCTCCCCTCTGACACCGGGCAGAAGCTGTAGCTTACAGCCCACTGAGGGGACCCTGCACAGCACCTTTATTGACCATGTCATGAGCAGAGTATTTCTCAGCTCATTTTCCTGTTTCAGTGTTTCTGTGAGGCCAGTGGTGCTTTCAGAAGGTGTTTCAGAAGCTTGTTTTCTATTGCCCTGCTTCTGGCACGTTGACATCGTGCAACAAGAGCACAAGCACTGCCCTCTTGATGCAAATGCTCCTGACGCCCTTTGCGTTGGTGTCAACAGCGGCTGCCTACAGACACCCCATCCTTTTGTCTCCAGAGCATCTCCTGGAGCATGTGTTTTCATGTGGTCATCTGTCCCTTTCATATTTCGCAGGGTCAGAGGCTGGGACAGGCAGAGCTTGTTTGCCTGTGAGTCTCACCTTTGGGTGCTCAGGGTTGCCCTCCTCAAGAGGGACAGCTCGAAGGGTGTTAACAGTTGTGGAACTGGGACCAGTCGTCCCCAGGGTTTGCAGCTTCCCTTCTTTTGCCAGCATAAACAAGCCAAGTTGCTGGTAAAGAGAATCAGCCTTCACTGCAGAACCAGTAAATCCTCTTGCTAAATACCAGCTTATTAGGGATTTGTAGAGGACAAATACTTGGCACCAGAGGTTTAAGCTGCTTGCGTGAAGTGAGAGACCCTTACAGAGGAGAGGCCAGCTCATCTATTTGGCAGCTGGTCTGGACAAATGAGACACACTCGCTCTGCTGTTAACCCACTCCAGGCTGTGATACAGGCTGGAAGGGACCTGATTTGGTGGTCTGCTCGCTCAGCTTCTGTTCTGCTTGTCTCCATGGCACTGCCAGTCCCCCATGGCATTCTCCTGGGAGCAGCAAGAGCCATTTGGAATCCCAGACCACTGATTGCAGGTGAGCAAGGTCAGCCGCAGAGATGTAATTTTGGCCATGGGTCTTTTCATGCATGTGGCTGCCATCCCTTCTGCTCACCACAGGTTGTTCCTAGGCTGTGGCCTCTCATCATAATGTCACCTGAAGTCCCATCACCCCATGGAGCAACGGGACTTAGATATGATTCAGTCTTGCCTGAGACAGTGTCTGATATTTTGATTTTAAAGGAAGGGTTTAGAGCTAAATTTTGTGATATTGTTTTCCTAAAATACTTCTTAGAGCAATGTTTTTTCATAAGACTAAGATGCATGCTGCGTGAATACATCCCTTTCCCCACCAAAGTCTCTCCCAGGGGCCCACTGCCAGTCTGGGAGTGCTCTGTCACTAGGGTGTCTGACCACTGGGGATGGCATTGCTGGGAGCATGGGGCAGGGACACACTGGTGTCACTGTGAGGCATGGGATGCACATCGATAGCTATTGTTGTATCTCAAGTTACCAGATAACACATGTAGGACCAGAAGCCGCAGCCTGTTTGGTGATTGGCTGGTATGGAAATTAACTGAGAAGGAGAAAAGCCAGCTGTCCCCAGCCCATGAGGAGGAAAAGGCTTGCTGATCCCACCAGCTCCTTCCCCAAACCTCCCTGTTGCAATGCTGTCCATCAGCGCATGTCTGGTCAGTGAAATCTCTGCTCCCACAAACCCTCGCTGCAATCACTAAACCTCCCTCCTGGCACGGAGCTGCCTGCTGTGGCCTGCTCTTGGTGGCTGGTTGGGTCCTGTCTAGCAAGCAGCTCTCAGAGGATAAGATCCAACATTAGTGCTCCATCTGCAGCACATCCTTGGCTGCGCAAGTCACCTCTACCACTGCCACCAAAGTCCATCACAGGTGGTGGGTATTTGCTATAAAGGTGCTTAAGGGTTCATTTCTTAAGGCATCTTGTGAGATTTTGAGTCCAAACCTCAGGTAAGACACAGCTGTGTATCCTGAGCTTCAATTTAACCTTTGCTTCCAGCTGCTTCATAGTTGGCCAATCTGTAAGTTGGTATCTGGTGCTTTAGCTGATTCAAACAATAACCACATTGATCCTTTATGTGCTTTTGCCTATAAAACCCCAGACTGCTAAATATATCCCTGTTAAACCTTTAGTTTCTTCTCTATTTGCTAAATACAAACAAGTATTCCTCAGCATTTGGGATTATGCGAGCCAGTCATCTTCATAAAGCTGCACAATGTCTGCTGAGAAACGGGAGTCCTCACCTCCTCTTTCCATGGTTGGGTGGAAGAAACGATACAGAAGCAGGAAAAGTTGGGAGAAGTTAGAAGGCTCATGCATGGAAAGAATCACAGGCAGTTTATTCAGTGACATGGGAAAACAAACCAGATCACCTGGAGTCACCTGCTAACATCTTTTCCTTGCAGCTACTCCACTGAATTGGGAATCCAGAGCATTTCTATAGCAAACTCCTTGGGCTTAGGGCTGACAATCAGTGGTGGATCCAACAGGCCTGATGGCCCCATGATTTATGTTCAAGAGCTTCTGCCGGATGGTGACTGTTACAAGGTAAGGCAGTGCGGAGACCCTTGGTGACTTTGCAAACGGAGGCCTCTCCTAGAGGCTGTGGCTGTTCCAAAGCAGCTTTTCTAAGAATAGATGAATAATGTGTTGCATGGAGTAATGATGATTTGTGTTGCAGGAGAAGGCTTTGGGCTGAGAGACACTGCTTCTGAATTTGCTGTGACTTTTCCCCTCTTTGTTTAGGATGGTCGTCTCCGGCCTGGTGACCAACTCATCGCTATCCATAAAGATTCTTTGGTGGGCAGCACATATGAAGAGGCCAGAAAAATAATTGCAAAAGCCAAATTAAGGTGGGCATATAACATATTTCCTGTCATCATCATGGTGCTGTTGAGTCTTAAGCAGAAACTCTTCATTTTATACCAATGTTTGGCTTCAAGAAGCGTGAGGCTTGTTAATCTTAAATGATGCTTCAACCTTTCACAAGGGCCTGTGGGGACAGAACAAGGGGGAATGGCTTTAACCTGACAGAGGGGAGATTGAGGTGAGCTCTTGGGCAGAAGCTCTTCCCTGTGAGGGTGCTGAGGCACTGGCACAGGTTGCCCAGAGAAGCTGTGGCTGCCCCATCCCTGGAAGTGTTCAAGGCCAGGTTGGACACAGGGACTTGGAGCAACCTGGTCTAGTGGAAGGTGTCCCTGCCCATGGCAGGGGGTTGGAACTGGATGAGCTTTAAGGTCCCTTCAACCCAAACCAGTCTGGGATTCTGTGGTCCTGCTAAGTGGTTATATGAGGAAATCTTGAGTGCATGGATCATCCTGAAGTGTAATCCAGACCTTCCCAATATTCTGGCCCTCATGAATATCCCCTATCACTGCCCAGCAGAGTTCTGCAACAGAACCAAAGTTCAAAAAAGCAACACAGCAGGTGAAGATCCAGCTACACTGGCACAGGCTACACAGGCTTAAGTGAGATTATCTTAGAGTAAGAACCACAGGCATGGAAGTTCTGCAAACTTGTGTTTTGCATTTTCTTGTTGTTAAAATGTTGTGTATTTGTTGTTTAAGACATGAGGGAAGCACAGAAGTGGCCTTTATTCCTGGAAGGGGACGGTTACATCCTGGGCTGTCAGTTCATAACAACATCCCATCACCACCTCCAAAGGCTGTGGGAAATGGTCTGAGTTCCTGCAGGCTGAAGGTCCATGTGAGGTCCCCAGAGGTAGGTTGGTGTTCATCTTTAAGACTTATCTTACAGACATCAGTCCTGTGATCTTTCTTTGATCAGAAAACTGTTCTTTAGGGACTTCATGGCAGTCCTTCAGGATGGTGGGAAGTCTGTAATGCTGATGTATGTAGCCCTGGTTTATAGCCAGGTATTTTAAATCTGAAATATTGTTTCTTCTGTCTTGGGTTTAAGACATCTGTGGAGGTAATGAGAGGAGTTTCATCTCCAGGGCCTGCATCCAGACCTGCTTCAGAAGTCTCAGGTTTTAAAACACATACTCCTTCTGTGGATAGCAACCTGCATCTCATTCAACACCAGTCATAGAGCTGGAAGGGATCTCCAGAGTCGGTTTGATCTAGTCTCCTACGCAAAGGCAGGAACAACTTCCTACCCAAAGGCAGGAACCACTCTTTATTCTCCTCTGATGAGGATGAATCCGCAGCTTTCCTAAGCAGCCCAGTTCTGTTCTTCACCAGTCTAATGATAAGCCGGGCTCCTTCTTCCCGTGAAGCCCTGCTCTATATTTGTGTTTGCAGAGACAAGTGCTCGAGCTGTGCATGGTGAGACAGGGCTTAACCACACAACCCTCATAATTTAGGTCTGTGGCTGGATTCTGTGCATTTGTCACTCCTCTCCTGGGCTGTGTAGTTCCAGGTGTATCTTCTGCCCTCTTTCACGTAAACTTCCTTTAGCAAAGGCCATCATGAAGTTCCTTCCATACAAGCATCATTCATAAACCATCTTTCTTTCCAGGCTCTATGGAGGCACATACTGGTGGGAATGTTATACACATGCTGCCTTTGGGTGTAACAGGCTGGAGACATGCTCATGAAAGTCAGCCTTAGCCCACATATGTGTAGCTGGGTGGTGCAGTTAGATCCTTCACTGGCAGAAGATTGTGCTCGTGTAATGCTGTGCACCGATATGAAATTACACTGCTATCTGGAATTCAATTGCTCCTTTCCTCCCTTTGCTCCTGAAAGATGGAACTTTTCATGAGGTCTGGGCTTTCATACTAGGGAAAGTGTGCTCAGGCACCTGTGCTATCTGCCTGTGTGTTCTCAGCCCTTGTCCTGTTCTCCTCTCAGCATGTAAGAGTTCAGCTGTAGAAGCTCTGTCTCGGTGGTGCTCAGCATATCCTACCCTCTATTTTTCCAGCCATGGCCTGGTGCTTAAGAAAGGGTGGGCGCAGCTTCCTGCTGTGCTCACTGTGATAACTCTTGTGTTTGGGGCAAATAATAAACTGGCTGTGGACAGACTTGGGACCTCACTGGTGGGTTGGTGCAGAGCTTTAGGGAGAACCTCTATGGAAAAAACATACAAGGTTAAACCCATCCTCAGCTCTCAATCATAGTTCCAGTTTGGCCCATCTGCACAAGAGGTGTACGTGGGGCCTTTGCTCTTTATGGGACAGATGAGTGGCTCTCTCTTCAACACCTCTATCTTCTGCTCTTTATTTACACCAGCAGATTCTGCTTAGCAACTGTCTGTGCTGTTTTGTCTTGTTTTTCTAGAATAGACATGAAAATAATTTTCCTGTGCCTTCTTTGTCACCGGACATTTGCCCACCAGAGCTTACTGTGTCAGGTAAGAGCCCCTCTAAGCTGTTTCCTTTGTGTGGGTGACAAGCTCAGCCTTGGTTCCTCAGCACTGAGGAGGATGGAATTAATTCTGATCAGTGTTTATTCTGCTGTACTGGAATCTAAAGGGGTGCTAATGACCCTCAGCCTGCTGAGAGAGAGGGAAGGCAGCAGCTTGGCTTTCTCAACAGGTAGTAATTATGTCAATGTTTGTCCATAGTAGCAAAATTCTTTACTAAGGCCTAAGAGGTCTCAGGTATTCATAGGAGATAACTTCTCCCATTCCCAGCCTGTGGTTCAGTTACAGCAGTGTCTTTGCCCATGTGCATGCAGCAGGTCTCCTTGCAGGCAACATTCCCTTCTGTTGGTCCTTGGGGACACAGCTTCCATGCTGCTCATTGCAGAGACCCTGGGACAGGGACTGCCCTTGGTCTGTCCTCCCCACCCTGAGCATCCTGCATCCCTGGCTTCAAAGTAGGCTCTTAGGTGACCACCACCAATAGCCAGAGGTCCTGGTGATGGGGTGTAAAGCCCTGGGTTATGTAAAGAATCCAGCAAATAGCAATGATCTAATCACTTCCTGACTTAGCCAGGGGATTTTATTACACACAGGTTTTTCATGTGAGATGCTGAGGAGGCTTTGTGTCAGTGTTGTCATCCATGAAACCAGACAACTGTCTTTGAAAAAGCAGCAGCCAAGCTTGGAGCCTAGGCCAGTGGCTGCCTCTCTCTCTGTGCCTGGTGGCTGCCCTGGATGTCTCCATGTTCAGAGCTGACAGCAAAGCCATGTGGAGCTAATCCTGATTAGCCATGCATCGAAGGGTAACAGCTCTGCCCTTGAACCTGGAGAGTAAAGTGTTGGTGGCTGCTCCAGCAAGCCCATGTATTACCTCTTGCTGCTTCCCAGCTGCTGGCATTAACAGGGTGGATGAATACCCAGATTAGAAGGATTACACTTGTGCAGCACCTTCCCTGCCTCTTGCTGCCTTCTCCTTGTGCCCGGTCCCTGCCCTACCAGGCAGCAGGGGTTCAGAAGTGGTTTTCCTCGGCAGTCCAGGGCTTCCTGTGATGATAACCAAATCCCAGGCAGGGGAAAGAAATTGCTCCCGTGGCACAACCCGTGCCACTGGCAGAAGAAGGAATTTTGTCACCAAGCGGTGCTGACAGTTTGAGTGTGAGCAGGGTGGACAGGCTGCACCTTTCTGGAGTCTGGGAGCTCTGGAGCAGGTAACACCTTCTGCAGCCCTTTTCCCAGAGGATGTCACGGTTCCTTATAGACAACGGTTAATAATAATGGGAAAGGTGAAGTTCTCCTCAGGGAGGGAGGAGCACAAGTGGCAGGCCCTGGCAGCAGGGCTTGCACTCTGGACCATTCCGGCTGTGAAGGCAGTGCTGTTAATGACGATCTCAGAACAGCTTTACACCAGCAAAGCAGGTGCTGTTTCTGCCTCTTCCTTCCTCTGTGCCTGTCTCACAAAGCATGTGGCTCCCTCTACCCAAAACCACTTTTCTGCCCAATTGAGGGTGCAAGGCTTTCTGCAGTCTTGGGGAAGGAAAAAGGTTTGCACCAGTGTTTTTCTACATCACCTTAAATCCAGTGACTCCCTTTCCGTGGATATTGTGAAAACCAAGGCTGCATTTTCCAGTCTTTTATCTTTCGATGACTAAAGGAGGCCTACAAAAAACATGGAAAAGGGTTTTCGACAAGGACCTGTAAGGACAGGACAAGGGGAATGGCTTTAACCTGACAGACGGGAGATTGAGATGAGATCTTAGGCAGAAGCTCTTCCCTGTGAGGGTGCTGAGGTGCTGACACAGGTTGCCCAGAGAAGCCGTGGCTGCCCCATCCCTGGCAGTGTTCTAGGCCAGGTTGGACACAGGGACTTGGAGCAACGTGCTCTAGTGGAAGGTGTCCCTGCCCATGGCAGGGGGTTGGAACTGGATGAGCTTTAAGGTCCCTTCCAACCCAAACCAGTCTGGGATTCTGTGATTTTATACAATGTTCTGTTCCAGTTTTGCTTAATCAATCAAAGAAGGCAAAAAGAGGCAAGTGGTTGGGTGGTTGTTTTGGGTTTTTTTCCACAGATCACCATAACTCCAGACTCCCCAAAAATATGCAATCAGACATTTCCAAAGTGCTATTTTTGCAATCCTAGGTCCCTGGATGGAATGTCTCATTTCAAACCCTGCAGAAGCCCAGTTTCAGCAAGGGTTTGCCCCAGTATCCAATCTTTTCAACAGTGCCCTATCTCAGCCTTCCAGGACCAGATTTAGTAAATCCTGGCCTTTGATTTTTGCCTTTCTGCACACACTTTATAATTCATGCAACAAGAGTTCGCAGCTGTGCTTCGCAGGCACCTCTTTCCTCTACCCAACCACTCCTTCATGAACATTTATATTTGCTTTTTCAGCACCTGCTTCAGCATCAAATCACAAAGCAGGTTCAGGCACCAGACCAAAAGTAGCGCTGGATCCTCATATCCGGCTCAAGGATGGGAAACTGGAGCTGGTAAGTGGAATGGGTCTCTCTCTCCAAAGCGAGAGCTCCTGTCAACCCCCTCCCAAGGCATGCTATGCAGAAGAGAATCCACTGGTGTGATACCTCCTTTGCTTGCTTAAGCAAACACAGTAAGCTTAACATGAATGGCCTGTTTGTATTGATATTGTGTGAAAGAACTGATCGAGACCCTTCAGCTTTGATTCTTGGAACAATGTCACACTTGTGCACATGAGGACCAGGCCATAGGGTCACTATGTTGCTTGGGTTTTGGAGGGATTAAAAAATGAAAACTTGAATAGATATAGTTGAAAAGCCCCAGCCTGCCTGTTTGCACCAAGTAAAGCTATAGCACTTGATCAGTGCTCTCATCTCCACACACACCATCCTCCACCAAACTGCCTGCTCCAGCCCAATTCCCCTTCACCTCCCCGGGATACCAGCCAGGCCGTGTTGGGAACAACAATAGTGATGGGGAGTGCAGGGCCACTGTCTAGCCTCTGAAGGTAGAAAGGGAGAAGAGAGTGTGGCAAAGCATCCCAGTTGTGTCTGAAGGGGCATTTAAGCACACTTTGTTTCCTCTTGGCAATTCCCCAATGCTCCAGGGAGCTCCAGAAGTTTCCTTCTGGCAGTTGCACCTCCCTTGGATGTAATGCATTTGACTCAGGGCTGTAGGCGCAGGCAGCTGCCCTCCAAGCTTGCTGCTGTGGCTGCTGGGGTGACCTCGGGCAGCCCGGTGTGGGCAAGGGAAGGCTGAAATACAAGGTATCTCACGGAGGATCCAGCCAGAACCGCTGCTCCTTTCATCATTGTATGGAAAACCCAACCCATGGGCACCATCAGAGGGCAGGGACTGGAGCTCACCGCGACCCCAGTGAAGAGCAGAGTGTCCCTGGGGGGATCCATGCCCCCACTCTGGTTTTAGGGTGCATTTTTCCCCCTCCGGGTTCTGCTGGCATTTGAGGGGCCCTCGTGCAAAGCCCGGGGACTGCGAGGGGGACCCGATGCCACGAGCATCTGCTGCCACCCGACGGCAGCCGCAGGCCCCCGTCT